TACATAATATATATATATGATGTGAATTTATGATGTGGAAATTAATCCTAGAGTTAATCCTGGGGTAAAGATAATTAGTGTTCTAGTAAGATGTGAATTAAGTGAAGTTGTGTGCAATGAAAAGGGAGAAAAATCAAAATAAAGAAGTAACAATAACAATAAAACCCAACAAGTCGAATCCCACTAAAGCTATATAGAAATAGCTTTAGTAGTTTTATTTATTCAACCCTCTTTTCCTAAATGCCAACTGTGTGCCAGGCATTACACTAGAGTTTGGGAATAAAAATGAAAAGGATTTATTCACAAACATCTGAGTAAGAGATTGCCCAAGTCACTTGCCCAAGGTTATGACTGATGAGCAGGGCCAGAACTTGAACATGTAATTCTGTCTCTAAAGTCCAGTGTCCCCCCCACCCCCAAAATAACAAGTTGCAGGCACTGTTGGTGTCCAGTCATGATCCTCTCATATCCCTTTTCCCAACTGTGTGTGCATATCTCCTAGTTTCTGCATCTTATGCTACTAAACACTTGTACCTTTGACCTTGAAAGGATTGCACTTGGACACTGGCTTGAGCAGAGTCTGAAATGTCTTGGAGTCCCCATACCTCACTTCCCCACCATCCCACAATCCTAGAGTGATGCAGAGCTAATGACTGGGAGTTTAAAAGCTCAGTTCCTTTGCCACAAGATAAGACAAACTCTGAGGTTCAACTTATGCTCCAGATCTTTCCATAGGATCAGGCTGAGACTTCCCCTAAAATTGTATCTTTGTTTGGTTTCTTCTTTTCTGTTTTGCTGCCTCCACTTACTGGTTTTACCCTGGGCACAGTTCTTTACTAAATCACTACCACACAAATTTTCTTTCAGGGTCTGCTTCTTGGAGACCTTGACTTGAGACATCTATATTATGATACAAATTATGTATCTATCTCACTGTAAGTTCACCTAGATTTTAACCACAGGATGGGGGGAATGTATTCGTTAATGAAATTTTTAGGTTACATTATGAACATGGAATTAAAATCAATCATTTGAAATGATTATTTAATCAGCCAAATGTGTGTAATTTGTTTTGTGACCTTGGCTAAGTCATTTAATCTACAGATATATCTTGTTTTATTGTGCTTTGCTTTATTATACTTCACAGATACTATGTTTTTTTTTATAAATTGAAGTGTTTTTATAATCCTGTGTCAGGCAAATCTTTCAGGTCCATTTCCATTTTTCTAACGGCACTTGCTCCCTTTGTGTCTGTGTGTGATATTTTGGTAAGTCTTGCAGTATTTCAACTTCGTTATTATTCTGTTTGTTATGGTCATCTGTGATCAGTGAACTTTGAGGTTACTATTGTAATTGTTTTGGCATTCTTTAGCATTAAGGTATTTTTAATTAAGGTATGTACTATTTTTTAAGACATAATGCTATTGCACACTTGACTACAGTGTAGTGTAAAAAAAACTTTTATATGCACTGGGAAACCCTCAAATTCTTGTGACTCACTTTATTACAATATTTGGTTTATTACAGTGGTCTGTTGGGTGGAACTGAACCCATAATATATCCGAGGTATGCTTGTATTTGGATAACAGCTTTTTTCCTTGAAAGATGAGTGTTATTTATCCAGGTAGCATGTGCATATCAAATATAGCACATATTAGGCCATTTTATGATACAAAACAATCATAGTCTGTTTAAACAACAGGCTATATACACAGAGTCCATGTTTTGACATTTTATCTTAATCTCAGTAACCAAGAGAAAGTAGTTTGATGCTTTAATTTACTTTTCTCAATAGAGCAGATTCCCAATAACAACTGTCAAATTTTATAGAACAAGTAAATATCTTAAAACTGTGATTAAAAATCCACTTGTTACATTTAAAGAAAAATATTTCTATTTCAGCTTTTTGACAATGTATAGCATGGCCATTGTCAATCTTAAGTCTTTAATGTGCTATTAAAACATCATATTAAACAGAATAATTCATAATTTTACCCATCTTAAAGTCCCTTTGTTTTAAAATGAGACATAGCATAGATTCAAATATTGGAAAAAATGAAGAAGTAAGCATTACAATCCTAGATGGCATTAATTCCACTTACTCCATGAATAATCTCTTCCTTCAAACCCCAAACATGTAAGAAATAGAGGAATTAAATCTATTTTATGCTAATAATACAGCACATGAGAGTGGATAAAAAGAATGAAATCAAGACATAAAAGGTGGATTCTTTATTCTCCCATTCCAGTCTCAGAAAAGGAATGTAAATGAACAAAATAAATCTAAAGGTCTTTAAAGTGATTCCGTAGCAAGATGGATTAGGTGATGAAACCATTTTATTCATAGACAGCATAGTAATAAAATCATAAGCTCTCAAAGAGCAAATGAAAAATCCCTCTCTGGACCTTGTGTTGGAGTCTTTGGGCCATGGGACATCATGATTAGGTTATTGTGTTTTGCATCTGTTTCACAATACACTACTGAATATTTTATCACTGTGATCAATGAAGCTTTATGGACTGACCTTGCAGGTCAAGAAATCAAAATGGAGAGGTAAGTCTATAAAAGACAGAAAGGCATAGCATTGCAGTACTCAATCTTTTAATTTATTTGTTTCTCACATTTCTCATGACTCATGGAAAGAATGGCCGACAAATTCTCATGAGTGATAGCTAGCATACTAATTATGTATCTCCACACTCTTTCCCTTCATGAATATATTTGAAGACAGATATGTATGAGTTTTAATTATAGAGGTAGCCATCTATTTTACTTTTTCAGTAGAAGAAAAATGGCAGATTTACATATAGGCCACTTAATAAAGTCTAGAAATATAGATACTATATAGAATGGATATTTGTATCTATATAAATCCACTATATAGGATGGATTATTAATTGCAGGAAAAAGCAAATAGCAAAACAATATGTACTTTATTACATTTATGCAATTTACATAAATTTATTTATATAAATCAAATGCACAATTATAATGCAAACAATTCATAATAAGGTTATATGGTAGTGCAGGTAACAGAGAGGATTTGAAAAGGCAAGGCAGAATTTTGTGCTGACTGTATTGTTTGAAATGTGTGCAGTGAGAACACAGTCATAGAGCACCATGTCAGTACTTTAACTCTGATCAGTAGCACATCATTTGCAAAACACTCTTAACCTCCCTGTGCTCAAAGATCCTCATCTATAAAATGACAATTTCTGAGGTTCTTTCCTGCTTAACTATTTCAAATATTTATCCAGTGATTAGAAGTCAGGAGGCACACTCTAACCTCATGGGCCCATGCTGACTCTTAGTATATGATTATATGAAGTGATACAGTGTTTCCAATGGGAGTGGCAAGACCCTTTAACAATTTGTCTATACAAGGCTCTTTCCTGTAGAAAGTCTTTTAGAAAAGAATGTTTCCAACTGCCTGGAGAAGGGACCCAATGGGAAGGTGTGTGTGTGTGTACCATGCTGCAGCTTCACCACCCAGCATCTAGCCTGGAACTTGGACTCAATCTCTATGAGAGTCACACTGGGGCAAATGCATAGAGATTGGCAGGAAGGTGGCATTGTCGAGGAAGTAATTAATCAAAAAGAGTGGAGCCAAGATATGGACGCTAAGTGAGGACTGTGGGAACCACTTATCCCAGAACAGGGACCCCACAGAGCCTGCCCCTGCTGTCAGACCTGGAAGACTCCCAGCAGAAGTGGCTAGAAATAGCATCCAGTGATTTTAGCCTCAAGAGTCTAAAGGCAGTGAGGGCTTTAAGTTGAGGAGGTGCAGCCTCTGGTTAACAGAGGGAGGAGTCCCAGGCTGCGTAAGGCCCTGGTAAGACACTGGGCCAGAACGGAGGGTACCACCAACTCCAGAATGGAGGGTGCTCCGAAGGTTCCACTACCATTGTTGGGGGGGTGGTGAGGGGGAAGCTCCATAATAACTATCAGACCGAGGCTCCCTCCGACTTCATCTTCTTGGGAGTCTAACGGGAGTGAGGGATTCTGGGTGAAGACACCGAATGGGTTAAATACCTTAGACTGTAAGGAACCTTACTTCCGCCCTAGGAGAAGTGGCACCACGGAGCGTAGAGGGAGGAGGCAAAGGGGAGCCCAAGCGGAAGTGACGTCCCCTGACTTCCGCTCCAGAGTGCCGTTGGCGAAGGCCTGTAACGAAAGCTGAGGCCTCGTTCCGCGGAAGGAGGCCTAGGTCTGGTCAAGTGTTAAGGTAAGAACACTGAAAGAGGGACCCAACTACCCGAGAAGAGAGGGAGTCCCGGTGAGTAAAGCCCCGTACCTTTTGTCATTCCGGGGAGCCCGTGGAATAACTGACTCCAGCCTCGGGAATCAGCGGTGAGCCAGCGGCAAGGGCCTGGGTCCGAGGGGCGTGGCCACAAGGCAGCGGCGGGCTGGAAGGGGCTCCGGCACTGGAGAGTGTTAAGATGAGGGAGGGAAAATGAGATGACCAGCACCACAGAATAGGAGGGCTTCTGCCGGTAAGAGTGCGGCCCCAGCTCCAGCCCTGGGAGCCCCGAAAATAAGTGCCAGTTCCCTGACTTCCATCTTGAATTTGCAGGAAAGTGAGGCCTGTTCTAAGGACTGCTGCCTCAAGTAAACATAGGAGTCTCAGACCCTGCTCGGAGTCAAGGTAAGATGCTGAGTGATAACTGAGGTGACCACCCACCCCAGGCAGGAGAGGGTTGCTGGCAACAATTTTGTGAGATCTGGGAGGAGCTGGGTTGGGGGGAGTGGCTTCCCCTGACTTTTGCCTTAGAAGCCTAAGGATGGTGAGTGCCCTGGTCTGAGAGAGGAGGCCTAATTTTAGCAGAGAGGAGTCCTAGGCCCTGCCAGGTTTCAAGGTAAGACGCTGAGTGAGGATTGGAGCGACCACCCACTTCACAACAGAGGCGGTCCCACAGATAAGAGCACAGACCCTGTGACAGCCCTCAGAATAACTGTCAGACCCTTTTGTCCCTTAACTTCTACCTTGGGTTTGCAAGGAAGTGAGGCCTGTTCTGAGGACTACCGCCTTAGGTGAGCAGAGGGAGGAGTCCCAGATCCTGCCAGGAGTGAAGGTAAGATGCTGAGTGAGGACAGAGAGGACCCTTCCTCCTGATTGGAGGGGCCCGTCAGAGTTCTGTTGTCAGCTCTGTGTCGGGGGTGGGGAGAGCATGGCTGAAAGTCACATCCTCTGACTTTTGCTTCAGGAATCTCAGGGAGGTGAAAGCCTTGGTGTGAGGGTTGCAGCCTCCAGTCAACAGGGGTTTTGGCCTCTACTAGAGTCAAGGTAAGATGCTCAGTGAAGACTGAGGGAACATGCACTGCCCACCCCCACCCCCCATGAAGGGGCATTTGCAGATCCCTGCTTTTGTTGTTATCCTTGGGAGATGCTGGGCAGGGTTAGCTGGAATTGGCATCCACTGACTCTGCCTGAAGAATCTGAGCATGGTTAGTACCTTGTTCTGAGAGCGCAGGCCTCAGTTCTGCAGAAGGAAGAATGGCAGGCCCTGCCAACTTTCAGCAAAGGACTCTGAGTGGGGACTGATGAGACTATTTACCTCACAACAGAGAACTCTTCTAGATAAGGGCATAGTCCTTGCTGTCAGCTCCAGGGGGCCCCAAAATAGCTGTTACACTGAGTTGCTTCCTAACTTCTACTTTGGATTTGTAGAGAGGTGAGGCCTGCTCTGAGAAGTGCTGTCTCCAGTGAGCAGAGTGAGGAGTCCCAGACTCTGCCAGGAGTCAAGGTAAGATGCTGAATCGGGACTGAAGAGATCTCTTCCCCAGAATGGAGAAGGCCCCTCAGATCTCTGTTGTCAGTCCCAGGAAGGGGAGGGGGTGGCCAGGAATGACTTCCTCTGACTTTTGCCTGGGGAGTGTGAGGATGATGACCATATTGGTCTGACAGATATAGCCCCAGGTAGTCAGAGAGAAGAGTCCCAGGCTCTGGCAGGAATCAAAGTGAGATGCTGAGCAAGGACTAAGGGGTTCACTCGAAAATAGTGGGGGCGCCACAGAGCCATGTCCCTGTTGTCAGACTAGGTAGGCCTTGGAATACTTGTCAGACTTCGGTGCTTTCTGATTTTGGCTTTGGGAATTTGAGGGCTGTTGTCGCCAGTTAGCAGAGAGGTATCTCAGTCTCTGTAAAGGTCAAAGTGAAGACTCTGAGTGAGGATTAAGGGGATCATACACATCAGAACAACAGAGCCCCAACAGACAGAAGCCCTCCTTTGTCATCTCTGGGAGGCCCAGGCAGGGATGGCCCAGTGAGGGGCCCCTTACATCCATCCTGCACCATCTGTCTCCACTGTGACTTTCCTGGCTGAGAGGCTCTGCAAAGAGCTGTCAGCCTGAGGTACCTCCTCGCTTCTTTTTAACTAGAGTGTCTCAAGAAGAGATTAAAACCTCTTTCTGAGGTGATAATCCTTGGGTCAGTAGAGGGAGGAATCTCAGATCACAGTGAGGATTCTAAACAAAGACAGATGACCACCCACCCCCAAGCACAATGGATCCTATAGAGCTTAACCACCTCCCACTGCCCTGTTATCAGCTCTGGGAAGCCTTGGGCTGGCTTGACTGGCTACAGGTCAGGACTGGAGACCTGTGAGGCTCTAGAGTACTGCCCTCAGGAAAAGACGGGTGGAGACACTCTTTTGGAGTTGCCACAGTTGAGTTTATCTGATAAGGCCATTCACATCCTCCTTTCTCCCTAGGTTGTGGTCCTCTATTATCCAACCTCCTGCCCACATTCCTCCGTGCTACCACTGACCAGAGTGAGCATGTCTCAGGATCAGAAGATTCCACATAGCACACAGGAACAACATCACACCCACTGTGAGCCCCAGGGCCTGGAGGCTGCACAGGTCTCCAAGGCTTTGGAGGAGACCTCTCCCTCCTCCTCCCATCCTCTAATGCCTGGAAACCTGGATGAGGCTTTGGCTGCTGGGGCACCCAGTACTTCCCAAAGTCCTCAGGGTGCCTCTTCATCTGACACTGTCACCGGAGCCATCTCATCAAGTAAATCAGATGAGTGCTCCAGCAGCCAAGAAAAGGAGGCGAGTTCTGCTTCAAAGCCCCTGTCTGACACTGAGAACTTGCCCGTAGATCCTCTAGATGAGAAGATGATTTTATTGGTGCAGTTCCTGCTGCAAAAGTATCAAATGAGAGAGCCAATCACAAAGGCAGATATGATTGGTGATGTTATCAAAGAGTGTAAGAATGATTTCCTTGAGATCCTTAGGAGAGCCTCTGAGCACATGGAGCTGGTCTTTGGTGTTGATATAAAGGAAGTGGATCCTAGCAGCCACAGCTATGCCCTCGTCAACATACTAGACCTCACCTATGATGCGAGGCTCAGTGGTTACGAGGGCATGCCTAGGACCAGCATCCTGGTAACGGTCCTGGGCGTGATTTTCATGAAGGGCAATCGCGCCACTGAGGAGGAAGTCTGGGAAGTGCTGAATATGATGGGCTTATATTCTGGGAGGAAGCATTTCATTTTTGGGGATCCCAGGGAATTCATTACCAAAGATTTAGTGCAAGAAAGGTACCTGGAGTACGAGCGGGTGCCCGACAGTGATCCTCCGTGCTATGAATTCCTGTGGGGTCCAAGAGCTCATGCTGAAGTCAGCAAGATGAAATTGCTGGAGTTCTTGACCAAGATTCATGAGTCTGACCCTATTTGCTTCCCATCCCATTATGAGGAAGCTATGAGAAATGAAGCAGAAAGAGCCCAAGCTGCAGTTACAACCAGGGCTGGCACAGCTGCCGAGGCCAGGGCGCACTCCAGTGCCAGACCCACGAGCTCTTCCCACCCCTAGTGAGGTCTGAATCATACTCTTCAGTTTGTCATTGAAGAGAAGTCAGCTTTCTAAGTAATGGAGGGCTGGGGTGAAGCTGTAGGGAAAACAGTGTGCAGCATCTTTCCTATATGGTTAACACAGAGGTTTCTCTTTTGGGGCAGTTAGTTTTTAAATGTTCCTTTTAATGTGACATTTCATTAGCTTCATAATCTTAAGTTTCTGGATGATACTGGTCATACATTTATTGTTATTTATGGAATTAAAGAATACAAGTTCTGTTTGTTTATGAAACAAATTGTAAAACTGACCATCCGCTTGTGTGATCTGGAAAAGATAACATGAGATTCAAATAGGCATTTCTTTGGAGCTGTCGAAGAACTCAGCAGTAAAATAGTTGGGATCAAGGAAAAAAACCCTAAAAGATGGTCAATTCTTGGCTTCCCTTATCCTCTTTAATCTGCCGTTTTGTAAAATTAGATGACCTGTATACATTTGCTTAGCTTATTGACGAATGTAAGAGAAATAAATCTGAATAAATTAGACCTCATATACACTGGCTCGTTTATTCCCCAAACATTAAATTAGCGTCTGCTCTTTGGGAAGCACTGTGCTATTGTAGTGGGCATGCTCAGTAAACACGCTTACTACCCACCCACAGAATTTTAGAGTCTAGGAGCAGGAATCATGCAAAGACAATGGTGGGTATCCTTTAATAACAAAAGAAAAAGTAAAAAGGAATCAGGAGGTGGGGGGTCCAGATGAGGGCTGTCAAGTGTAAATATCCTGAGAAAAGGCAGGCTGATGGCCTTGGGAAACTGCAAGGAAATGGAATGCAAAACTGTTCTTAACTGTTACTTTGGAATCATGGGTAAACCAGATCCTACCTGGGACAAGAATGGAAGATACCCTGAATTCTAGTCCAAATGCAGTTGAACAGAGTGCACAAATTAGGTGTTTTATGATTATCATCTTTAAGGAGTTTGTGAAAAATAAAGGTCAGATACCCAGAAGCCACTGGGCTGGCACTCTTTGCCTTGAGCTGGGAGATCCAAGTTCACAGGCCTAATATGTGACAGAGTTGGAACCAAACCTCTGGTTTGAATTCTAGAGCCGATGCTATTCCATTCCTCCCTGAGGGCAATATTCTATTAAATCATTTTTCTTCTTACTACTCCATATTGCTTTTCAGGGGATAAAAGGACCTTGAATCCAAAGTACTAAAAGTGCGTATAAAGAAGGAATGTGAAAATGAGAATCAAACACAATTTGGGGATTGTTTGTTGGATTCATTTACTCCAGGGTAGTGATGCCTCAGTCCCAAGGTTCCTTGAGAGCTGCCTCTGATCTGTAGCTGGCACCATGTGTCCAGTCCTAGTACTTTCCCACATACATTTCCCTCCCCCTGGGTCTTCCCCAGTGTGCCTTCCTGTCTAACTGTAACCTGCTGACCAGCTCTTCACTGCATCCTCCATTGCACCTTCACCCCAGTAGAACAGACAATCTGCCCTGCCCCTGACAGAGTATTCCAACTCCCTGCAGCCATTCCTGGCTGACCCTCACCATGGGATCCCTCTGATAGCAACAACCCCTCTATGTAAAGTTCTCTTTAAACAGTGAGCTTTACGTACATGGTCAATTCCCTATGGGCTTCTTCACCACACTCTCAAAATATTTTACAAATGGGCTTGTGGGTCAAGTCTAAGTTGGCATAGAACACAGTGGCTTCTGGGATATAAACGCAAAGTGAGAGAAGTTTTTGAAACCATCTTGATATTTGCAGTAGAATTTTAACAGGGTGTCATATTTGAGACAAGTCACTGAAAAAATACACCAATGAGTGAGCATACGTAGGTGGGCAAAAACAAAGACATCCCCCTTAAAGGGTAGATGGGGCAAGACCATGGAAATCACTGTGTAAGCAAACATCTATAAATCCTGAGTCTGAATTCCTGTAACCCTGGAGTTCTAGGAATTAGAAGGAATGGAGATGCCAAGGATTGCTTCTTTGGCCTACATACTATATTTGATTTAAAAAAAAGAAAAATAATTCACCATCCTTCTTTTGCCTCTAGTATCTGTACTTTCTCCAGAAGAAAATGCTGGTTTTCACAGTGCCTAACGGCACCCATACAGGTGTTCAGGTATGTCCAGTTAGGTGGTATGTCGTAGGAACTCCCAAGTTAAGATATTGACCATGTACCAAAAAGAAGGAGAAAATTCTCAGCCAGCTGAGATTATAGAAGTTTTTGCAAAGGACAGTACAGAAAGGTGCTATTGAGTGAAGAAGGATGAGCTTTTCCTGAGGGGATTTACACGGTTCTTTTAAAAATCAGGTGTGATCCTGTACTTGAAAGCACTTGTTACCGAATACGATCTCAAAAAAGTTGGTGAAATGCAAGGACAACATGGGCTTCACAAAAACTCCTCCAGGAAACAAAGAGGGTTGTTGTCCTAATAAATTGTAATAGTTACTCTTTATTGAGCACCTACTTTGTAGGAGTTAATGGGAGTGACTGCAAGTGCTCATCCACGTCTTGTCTTACTCTCCTTCCTGGGTTCACAGGGAGACTATATTCCCAGCCTACTTGTAGTTGAGAAGGGTCCTGTGACTACTCTTACCAGAAGCAGTATTTGTTATCTCCAGGCCAACTCATTTGAGATCCAGAATGCTACTTCCAAGTTCTTTCTATCATTCAGGAGCAAACATGGACAGCCCATTTGAGATGTGAAACTACAAGATGGAAGCAGCCTGAGTCTCAAAGCCACCCAGTAGCAAAGATCCCTACCAAATCGCATCAGATTTTATGTGCATGAGAAATAAACCTTAGTGTGTAAAGCCAGGCAGATTTTAGGTTTTATGTTTTGCATCAGCTAGCAGTTATTTTATCTAACTAATAAACAGGTGCTATTTATGTTGTTAAGCATATTTAAAATTTTTAATGACAAAGCTAATCATATGGCATATATTCTTGTTGTAAATATTTTCAACAACATACATAAATATATCCTTTCCCTTTGTGATTTTTCTCCAAAACTCGGCTTTATACTCAGAGGTAACTGCAATAAAAAATACGGTGTGTGTTATTTTAAAGATAATTTTAAGCTTTTTAATACATTGATGTGCTATAAAAATACATTGTGATTTTTTGACATAATGGATAGTGATGTACATATTATTCGCCACTTGCCTTTGTCACTTAGTAAAATGAATGCAGCATCATTCCATGACAACACATATAAATCCACCTCATTATTTTAACAACTCCCTAGGATTCTAAAGCATGTTCTGTGTTCCATGATTAAGTTAACTGTTCTTGTAATGATGGACACATAAATAGTTCCCATTAGTTTTTATAGTTAAATGTTGAAATCAACATCTTTTGACATGAGTTCTTGCAAATGTGCATATCAAAGACACAGCAAATAGAAACTGGGATACAGTGGAGAGGGTGTGAAAATTGTAAAGTTTTATAAATATTGTCAAAAATATCATCCCACAAATCTAACAGTTCATATTCTCATAAATTAATGTATGTAAATACCCTACATTCTCACATTTTGTTTTTTCAATTCTTTAACTTTTGGTCAGATGTATTAAACCATAATGTTTTCACAGTTATATTAATTTGCATTTCCCTATTTTCTAATTAGGTTGAATAGAAAATTAACTTAATATCTTGCCCATAAAAGGTGGATCTCTGCAGTGATATTCTGAGTCACAGGATTCCTCCAAACATGCTTTAAAATTCTGATATCAACAAGATATTTTCCTGTAACATGGAGAAGCAAAGATTTGGTTAGTATGACCAGGTGCCAGAGGTTGGGGCCAGTCAGGACACTCAGCTAGTGAGAGGCATGAGGAGGATGGCAAGGGAGAACAATTGCCAGAGTCCATGAGAGAGACTACAAGCAAAACCCAGAGATCTTAGGGAAGGCTAGCAGTTGGGGATCTGAATCTCAAGCATCATGTGGAGAAGTGATCATAAGAAAACAATTTGGTGGATCAGAGTGGGGCATCCAGGAACACTAACTTGAATAGGCTTGGGAAATTTCTGACTCACCTCTAGCAGCTGGAAATTGTCCAGTGATCTAAGTGGGCAGGTCTACCGGATGAGAGAACCCAAAGTATATCAAACATTCTAGAATCCTCTCTACCTTTGAATCCTCTCTAAATATTGTCAGGCAGAGTATGGCTGGCTCCTCTGTATCACCTAGTAATATTATTGATGGATTCTGGTACAGCAACATCTTTTGGCAATCCTGGGGATCCAGTGTACCCTTGGCAACGTACCTGGACTGGGAGTTTTCTTCATGTCTCCTGGAGACAGCTATCAATTACCTTGTATATAGTGCACCTCCTCCACTGAGGTTGGGGCTTTGTGAGTGGTGGGGTTAATGAAAGACAGGCCAGGAGTACCATGAGTCATGGAAGGAGATATGCAGTGGTAAAGACGGGGAAATTGGAGGGGGGATGCTCTTGTGGCTAATTATATCAGTGACTGCAGTTAAAGTAAGGGGCTAGATGTGGACATGTCTTGAAAAAACAATCCAGATGGTGCCCTAAACTCAGACTGCTTTCTTATGCTTCCTGAATTTTTGGCACACCAGAAGTTAGTGTCCTGGGACTGTTTGCTGGCCTGTGTTGCCACCAGATACTGCCTGGGATAGGGGATTGGGTCAAGGATCAGACATTTGCACAGTGTATTATGAGCTGATGGAGATGGCACAATTCCTTATTAAACTGACAGGAGATAATGGAGATATGTGGGGTCAGTGAGAGAAGCATGCTGCTATTGCCAGCATCCCTACCTCCAAGATAAGAATGTAAGGGTCTGGAAGGAGACATTCATGATCATATACTCAGTGATAGTTTCCCATGGGAATTCCCAAGTTAGGTAAGCAGTTGTAATGCTTTGGGTTTCTTCCGTGAAGGCAGAGACCTTACCAGGATTATTTTGAATCACTAAAAGCTACCTCTGGTACTTTGATTTATTGATTCATTCATCCAGCAAGCACTTACTGAACATAGGCTGAAGTCAAACATGAAGTAAACAAAACAAGGAAATGGCAAGGCACCTGATTCAGGCTATAGATGTGAGGATGGTAAGGAGAAGACAGATTTGAGTTTTTGACAGATTTGACTTAGAGATTGAGTGAAAGAGTGAGGACAGTCTGTAATGACACTGATTTCTGAAGGTTGGCTGACTAAGTAGAAGCTGTATCTCTTAGCTGAGATCAATACTAAAGAAGGAGGAAGAGTTGGTGACTATGTCAGAGGTAGAGATGAGGAAGGCTGTAGCAGATGAAGTCAGTGTTTGCCATTCAAATGGTACGGTTCTGCGGGCTGTCCAGGTGAAGACCAGTGGGTGGCAGGAGATATAGGCCTGGCTATCAGGAGAGGGTCCCCAGCTGCATCCACAGATGTCATGTGAGGCCATCGGTGGAGGTAAAATCAAGAATTGTGTATATAGTGGCCTATGTTCTGTCTCCTCCCCTGAAAATACTATTGGAAACCAGAATTACACAAAACTTAAT